ACGTCAGAGTTAAAAATCTATAATAATAAAAGCGTAATATGCTAATTAGACCAGACAGCCGAACGACCTTCAGGATGAAGCCAGGGCTGCAAGGGAAGCCCTGGTCCTGGGTGCCAAGGGAAGCCAGTGCCGGTGCGGTGCCAGCAGCCGGGAGAAGGAAGGCCTACTTTTGCACGAATTTCGTGCATCGGGCCTCTACTAATACTATGATAGCTATTGCTTACTCTATAAAGGCACTGTTTCAGGTGTTTTACATACAAATTGATTAATTTTTACAACAATAACCTCCTAACATAAATAGTATTATCTTCATTTTACAGATGAAGAAACTGAAACAGGTTAAGTTACTTGCCCATGACCACATGGCTACTAAGTGGCAGTTGGTGGCTAACACTGCTCATAACTCTGATCCAGGCAGTATGACCACAGAATCCAGTCTCTCAAGTGCTGTCTTCCATGCCAGCAGGCTCATGTGCTGGGAATAGATTTTCTCTCTCTAGCTTTAATGGAAGAATGTATGTGGCTCAACCTGTCCTACATCCTTGCACGCCAGGCTCCATGGCATTGTGTCAGAAAGTGGTAGGCTTCCTGCCCTGTTCTGATTACATTACAACTATATGGCTCAGATAGCCTGTCATTCCAGTGCCTGGGGGACAAGGGAGCTTGCGTGGTCTCTCCCCATCCTCCACCCATGACCAAATGGCAGCATTTTGTTCTGAGGACTCTGTCTTAAGGCAAAAGCTTTCTGAGGAATCTCAGAAAGGTGAGAGTCCTGTGTCCTGGGTCAGGGAGCAGTCCTATTGGCCACCTCACCGCAGGGTACAACCTTTCTTTTCCAGTTATTATCTTTGACCCTGGATGGACTCACAGGTGTTTCCCAGGACCACATGCGGGCTCATTACCAAACAGGCTCCAACCACATGATGTTGAACATTAACCTTTGGTCGACATTGCTGCTGGGAGCTGGTAAGGAGCAGTTCTGCTGTTCTTCCTGTGTATCACCAGAGGGCACACTGCCCTCACTCAGTTGATCTCTAGCTCAAATGGCAGTTGCTCCCTTTGCCCAGGCCAAAGTCCTACCTTGACTCTAAGATGCCCTGTGTCCGAGCCCCGAGAATTGTCCTGGGTAAACCTTCACCGTCAGGCTCGGCTTGCTACTCGCTCCTGGCTCAGTCGGGGCATACTGTGCTAAGTAACATGGGGGGACACACAGGGTAGAACCAGGGGTGCCTTGGGAACTCGTCCTCCTCTGAGGCAGGTGAGACATTGGTATGTAGTGTATGGTGAATGTAGCTTGAAAATGGATGTATTTGCTTTTAGATCAGTACTTCATAATCCTTTCCAAATCTGGGCACATGTTGAAAGTATATATTTTTTTACAATATAACAGAGGAGGCTGCTGGTGGCTGGAAGTGACCAGTGCTTGGGGCTGCCTGGAACTAGGGATGTGTGGATCAGTATTTCCACATCTGAGGATCTCTGCTTTCAGTCACTTTTGGCAGAAGTAACTAGTTAGTTATCAAGCCTTTTTAGGAAGAGCCTTTAGTTAGTTTCTCCAGTCAGGAAAATAGAAAAAGGATGCCTGATGGGAAGATAAAAGCTCACTCCACGCATTTCCCACATCCTATCCCCTTCCAGCATACTTTAGTGGGCCGCGTGCAGGTTTGTGCAAGGGCATGGGCGCACAGATGTGCAGGTGTGTGCAAGGGCATGGGCGCACAGATGTGCAGGTGTGTGCAAGGGCATGGGCGCACAGATGTGCAGGTGTGTGCAAGGGCATGGGCGCACAGAGGCACCCTTCACCTCTTGACATTTCTTCCTAGCGATCCTGTTCACTGGCGAGCTCTGGCAGTTCCTGAGCTTTGCTGAAAGGTACCCTGCCATCATCTATAACATCCTGCTGTTTGGCCTGACCAGTGCCCTGGGCCAGGTGAGTGCTTTGAGACGGGTGGCGTGGCTTCCCTGAGAGACTGGCCTGGCTGGGAGAGGTGGGGTGGCAAGATGAACTGATATCCTGTTCAGACTTTAGACCTCGTGGCAGATACCCAAGAACCAACCTGAGCCCGCCTTTTTCTGTCTTTCTCCAGAGCTTCATCTTCATGACTGTTGTGTATTTTGGTCCCTTGACCTGCTCTATCATCACTACAACTCGGAAGTTCTTCACCATTTTGGCCTCTGTGATCCTCTTTGCCAACCCCATCAGCTCCATGCAGTGGGTGGGCACTGTGCTTGTGTTCTTGGGTAAGTTCCATGCAGAGCAGGCATCTCTGGGCCATACAGAGAATGATAGAGCTTTATGTTTCCTCTCTAAAATTTACTTCTATAATTATGAAATTAGTTATTTTATAGAAAACTTAAAAAATAATTATAGTTGGCATACAATAGTGTATTCATTTCAGCTGTACAACATAGTGATTCACATTTTTATACTTGATGTGATCATCACAATAAGTCTAATAACTGTCATCATGCCAAGTTATTATAATATTATTGCCTATATTTCCTATGCTGTACACTACATCTCTGTGGCTTATTTCATAACTGGAAGTTTGTACATCTTATTCCCCTTTACTTTTTCACTCATCCTCTGCCCCCCTCCCCTTTTGTTTACCATCAGTTTATTCTTTGGTTCTGTGAGTCTGTTTTTGTTTGTTTGTTTGTTTTAGATTTCACATATAAGTAAAACCATTCAGTATTTGGCTTTCTCTGTCGGACGTATTTCACTTAGCATAATACCCTCTAGGTCCATCCATGTTGTTGCAAATAGCAAGACTTCATTCTTTTTTTATTACTAATATTCCATTGTGTGTGTGTGTGTGTGTATGTGTGTGTCACATTTTTTTTTATCCATTCATCTACTGATGAATATCTACGTTACTTCCATGTCTTGGCTATTGTAAATAACCTTGCAACGAACATACATTTTTTTGAATTAGTGTTCTCATTTTCTTTGGATAAATATCCAGAAGTAGAATTCCTGGTTTGTAAGGAAATTTTTTTTAAATCCAACCTTTCTAATAAGCATTTCATTTTAGTGATTTCCTTCCAGTGACTCAGGTTTCCCCAGAAACTGAACAGGGTAAAATTATTATATTTATTCTGTACTTTATGCTTTCTATGGGTGAGTTGAGAGAATGAGCTTAGAAATGTGACTGTTTCAGTCTTGCTGTAATATACACACACACACACACACATAATTACCTGTGTCTCGGTGATTTTTTTTTCATTTGATGCCATTCTCTTTTCTCCGAGGGAGCTTTATAAAACCCATGTTTGGAAACTAGTTTTATTTAAACCCCCAGTTTTGGAGAATCAAGGCTGAACTTTCCTTTTCCCCCCAAGTCATTGGCAGGTTTTATTTTTCCCCATAATTCTCAGCTCATCTTCTCCCTTCCCATAGGTCTCGGTCTCGATGCCAAGTTTGGGAAAGGAGCCAAGAAGACGTCCCACTAGGAAGAGAGACTACCTCCACCGCAGGAATATTTAAGTTATTATTTCAAATATTGATATCTCTTAGGAAAATGGACACAATAGGGATAAACGACTGGGTTTGTCTGTTTTTTGTGGTTTTTTTTTTTAAAGGAAGCAAAATCACATATTCTGGAGAAAAAAAGCACTTGGATTTTAACAAAACAGAGTTGGCAGTGTGTGTTCTTGATGACCTGGAGCACAGCCTACCACAGAGAAAGAGGGGAGAGGCAGACCTTGATGCCCATTCCCCAAGCTGCTTCCTCTCAGGTGTGGTCACCTGGTTGGGTGGCTAATTCCTTCAAGGGCCCAACCATTATAGGGAGGAACTTTAATAGATTGCATCCCCCATCCCACAGGTGAGAGTCTAAATGTGCCAGGAGAGGTGGCTGGGTTAGAGCCTTAGAATGTAAAAAAACCCACTTTCTCCAAGCTCTGGTGGCAGATATTTCTTTAAAAAACTATATATATTCTTGCCTGAGGAAATTTCTCTTGAGGTTGGGGTACACTGAGCCCCGAGCCTCAGAGTCTGCTGTTTTCACATTTCCCCACTGCCTCCCCTTCAGCCAAAGCTCACCCAAAAGCAGAGCCCCAAATGTGTGTCATGAACAGCCTGGAAGGTCCGATTCCCTCTCCATCTCTGTCTGAGTCCACCTGGTCCCCTCCTGGGGGGCTGGATTAATCCTTCCTTTCCTCCTGCCCCCTTCAGCTGCTAAAGCACTGCAGTCCCTGCCGTCCTGGCTGAGCGAAGGTGTCACCATGCCAGCTTCTGTCTGTTGCTGGCGGAAGGCATGGTGGCTGAGTCCTGGCACAGAGCCGCTGCTGAGTTTTCTGGGTGGCAATGGGGGGAGAAGGCGGAGCATGGACCAGAGCCACCTGCCTACTGCTGCCTTCAGAGTTGGAAATCGCAATCCTCCAGGGACCACACTTTACACATGAAAGTGCATTTCCACCAGCTGCAACTTTCACTCCATCTGTTCAGCAGCCCCGGCCCTGGGCTCTCCAGATGGGAGCCCAGCCTCCTTCCTGAGCCCTGCCTTGCCACCCCCCGCCCAGCCTTTCAAGCCCTGCCTCACTCGCACTCATCTCCCTCTCTAGGGGCCTGGGTGTCACTGCAGTTCTGGCCCTAAGGCCCCCTCTCATTTTGAACTTGAGAGAAGAGGTTTTGGGTACATCTACTGAAATTCCTTCACCCCTTACCCTACTCCTTTCCTTTTTTCAAAAATATATTTTTATTGATATCAGAGAGAGGGACAGAGAGAAACATCAATGATGAGAGAGAATCATCGATCGGCTGCCTCCTGCATGACCCCTACTGGGGATCGAGCCCGCAACCCGGGCATGTGCCCTTGACCAGAATCGAACCTGGGACCCTTCATTCTGCAGGCCAATGCTCTATCCACTGAGCCAAACCAGTTAGGGCCCCACTCTTTTTTATCCTGAAAGTTGCATAATTAGCTGATTGTTCTTCCAAACTGTCTTCTGTGGATCGGTTAGGTAGTATGTTACCAGACATGCCTAATGCTAGTCACCAAGAACAAGATAGTTCTCAACAACTCAGCACGCCTCTCACCTGTTCCTAAAGCAAGCATGTCCTACCAACAGTGGGCTAGGAGCCCGTTCTGGTATGTTCATCCAATCCCCTGTCCACCTACCACTCCCTTTTGTGTGCCACATACTGTGAAATGCTGGGAGCTCAAAGTTGAGTAGAACCAGTACTTACCCTTTAAGGGGTTTATAGTCTAATAGGGAGATGGGTAAACAAATCGTTGCATCTCAAATGTTCAGGGGTAACAAGGAAGGAAGATGTCTGGGCACGGTGAGGCTTGAGCTGGAGGGAGTGTGGGAAGATGAAGGAGGAGGTAGTGAGCTTTGGGACCACTGCCAAGCAGAGAATGGGGCTTTAAACTGCCTGGCTTCTCCCTCCAGTCACTTCAAGTGAGAGCTCAGGCAGAGGGTGGCTCTGCAGTGAGACAACTTCCAATTGAGTTGGGAGATATTTGACAATGTGTGAGCTGCCAGCTTGTTCAGGGTGGCATCCTTACCCCCGGGATCACAGGAACTGAGTGTCAGGTTAGACAGTGAGTAACACTGCTAGGTTTTTAGGGCTGATACATGTGAAATGCCAGACAAGTTCAAACAAAAGCATGTTGATCCCTAACCTTGGGCAGCCGGATGCCTCGTGTTTCTAAAGATCAAAGGACTTTCATGTGCAGTTAATTCTCAGCTATGTGTGAAAGGGAGGGAACCAGCACAGCTTTCCCCAGACACTGTTCTCTGAGTTTGAAGTGTATTGTACTGTGTCTATTTTGGTCAAACCATCAGATCCACCCCCTCAGCTGTTTGTTTTTGTTAATCCTCACCTGAGGATATTTTTCTATTGATTTTTAGGGAGAGTGGAAGAGAGGGAAAGACAGAAACATCCATGTGAGAGAAACACATCGATTGGTTGCCTTCTGCAAGTCCCGACCAAGGCCCGGACCGGGGAGGGGCCTGCAACCAAGGTATGTGCCCTTGACTGGAATTGAACCCAGGACCTTTTGGTCTGCAGGCCAACGCTCTATCCACTGAGCCAAACCAGCCAGGGCAAGCAGTTTTTCCATGTCCTGTACACCACTTAGCCTAGGGCAAGGGGAGTGACCCACAAATGTGATTTGGGATAAAACCATGGGGAAAGCTGTTCTAGAATTAAACATTAGAAGAAACAAGAATTATACATTGTTTTCCAGAGGACTTAAAGGGGCAGGATTTAAACACTGGCTAATCTTTAAAGTGAGGTATGTAGGGAATGGATGGTGTGCTTTCTCATAGCCCTGTGACACCCTCATGAAGAGGACTGAGCAAGCATCTGCACCTAGTAGAAATGAAAAAACAAGTTAGGGGAGCTTGGGTGACCTGCGGGAGGTCCCTGGGTATGTTCCTGAGAGATCAGCTAGAACCCAAGACTCCGAGTTCTGGTATCTTGGACCTGTGCCCTTGGAGCGAGAGGAGCAAAGCCCCTCCGGAGACCATTGCCTCTGCAGCCTGTCTGGCCCCACTGGCAGCGGGACAGTTTGCACATTGTATGAGTGGTGCTGGTCACTGCCCAGCTGCCCTGCAGAGAAATTGCCCTGGGTCTCTGCGGGACCATTCGGCCCTTCCCACTGAGAACACACCAGCTGTCCTTCAGAGCAGCAATCTCGTGTATTTATTGAGCTCCTCCTTTCCCAAAGCTTTTTAGTCCGTGACATTTTATCCTTACAACACTCCTGGGGAGAGCTCAGGCCAGAAACAAGTCTCCCCACATTGGAAACTGCATTAACTGAAGGTCACACGACTCGGTGGAAGGGCAGGGCCCCAGAGCGAGTCCACTCACCACAGGTCGGGTCAGCGAGCTAAGCCCAGCTGTGTGGATTTCCTGGTCCAGGAGAATTTCCAAATAATTTGGGAGGGCTGACAGGTATGCTGCTTTTTTAAAAAATCTTTCCAAGTAAGAATATTTAAAAAATCTAATATCACCATTATGGCTTAGAAAAGGACATTTTAACTCGTAAATTGTAGCCCTGGCGCATGTGGCTCAGTTCAGTGTCATTCTGTGCACCAAAAGGTTGCTGGTTTGGTTCCTGCTCAGGGCTCGTACCCAGGTTGTGGGTTAGATCCCCAGTCGGGTTGCATGTAGATCAATGTTTCACACACACACACACACACACACACACACACACACACACATTTATATATTTAATTAGGGAAAGCTACCCATATCAGAAGAACAGACCTTTCCTCCAAAGAAATGATGGTTGGAAATCACACCACCATATAGAAAAAAAGATAAATTAATTTTTTAATTGCAGAAAATGTTCAACATAAAACATCCTATGGTAACACACGGTTAGGCATTTCATTGTGATTGTTGATACAGCTAGGTCAGTTGGGGGCACTGGAGCTGGAATGTCCCGTAATCATGCTGACAAAGATGGAAGCAACCTGCAAGAGGTTTTACACCATTTAGCACACCCTGGGAGAGTGAAAGCAGCACCCGGACCCAGGCCACACCTGCCCTCCCTCTGTAGTGCCAGGAGCAGGCTGTGGGGGCAGGGGGCTTCCCAGTTAGGGCTGCGAGAGGGAGACTCCGCTCCTCTGCTCCACCCCCCAACCCCCATCCCCGAATGTTCAGGCCATGGTTTTGCTCCCCCGGCTGAGGGTATCCAGCACTTACTCTGGCAGGCTTCACCTACTAGTGAAAGCCAATTTCTGACAGGCACAGCCCTCAGACTGGCAACCAGTGGGCTATGCCTGCCATGGCAAGAAGGATGGGAAGGGAAACCAAGAGGGTCTTGGAGGGACAGGTTATTTCATTCAGGGCCTTCCACTTGGCTGAGGTGCAAGTCCATGAGGGCTGGTGGGTTTTCTGTCCCAATGTGCCTGCCCTGTTAGTTCTGGGAGAGGTGGGAGAGGGAGGAGGTTCAAGGCATTTACCAAGGACAGACACGGACTCTCTTCTGTGTTCCGTCATGGTATGTGGGCGGCCTGAGCTAGAGGAAGCTCCATGTTTCAGCTTAGGCTCTGAGGAGCACCATTTCCCCCTCAGGATCTAGAACTGCCACATTCATACCACATCCCTACAAGGGATGCATCCCTCTTACACGAAGGCTGAGAATGCCCTGAAATTTCCTGTAAAAGTGTGTGTATGACAATGGCACAGTGCTCACATGTGTCAAGCTGATAGGTTCATTTCTCTGTAAAAAAAGAATCCATGGCTCCCTTCAGATTCTCAAATATACAGGGTCCCGTATTAATGGGACTCATTTCATTAAAAGTTATTTCCCAAATAGAGGTGAGCAACTGGGCACCACCGCAAAATGATAAGAAAGCATCATCTCCCGCACTGCTTACATGGAGGGGTGGGGTTGAGGTTGCAGAGATACCCAAAGAGAGTAATCCATCCAATTTCATTTCTGCTTGCCTCCCAGCTCCTACAGACATTTTATCAAGGATTGTCAGCGTTAGTGAATAAAAATAAAGGATGCCGAGCTAAATTTGAATTTTAGATAAACACAATTTGTTAGACATACTTCTACTATAAATTGTTCGTGCATTATTTGAGACATACTTA